TCGGCGCGCGCCCGCGCCGCCAGTGCGCAGCTTGCCACCCCGGGCCCCGTGGCGGACTCGCCGCCGCCACATTGGCAAACTACAACTTTTTTATTATAGGCCGATAACTTAAACAAAAAAACCTGCACTGCGCGTGCGTGAAAAGTGGCGGAGGGGAAGGTTTCCTCCGTTACAGGCTCAACTTCCCCGCCTTGAGGAGCCAGCGACGCCTCGGCGTGGGTGGGCGGGGAGAAGGCAGCCTGGCCCCAACGAACACCCCGAAACCTAGAGTGCTGAAGCGTGAGAACTAAGTTGCCAGAGCGAATCAGTTATCGTTGCAGGCGGTTCAGACACCTGAGCAGTGGGAGGTTGGCTTAGCCACGCCTCCCGAGATAAGAGACGCCATGATGGTTTTTTCTAAGTGGTCGAGCTATAGTTTGCCGCGATCGTGAAATATTCTGCTCTGCCGACGGGCCCTGAACCTGCACTGAACTCCCCTGGGATCGCTCGTCAAGGTCTCGCCCTGCAAAAGGCAAGCTTTCCAGTCTTGTTGAATAGTCCGTTTGTCATAGCTCGCTCCAAGTTCTCAAACGGAAAGTATTTATGTATGACACATACCTAAAATGTGTTAAACCCTTACATGCTTCATATCCTGGAGCCTTTCTTGAATGTTGACAGATGAAGAGCGTAATTACGACCAATTTGTTCAGGACTCCGCAAGGGCACAGACTACTCCAGCGGCCTTTAGTGTTTACATTCCATATGTGGGAACAGAATAATCATGGTTTGTCTCCTGCACGCTCTCCCGAAGTGACTCCGCGCGATTTCTTTCTTTGGGGATTCCAGAAAGATCGCATATACGCCACAAATCCACGCAAGGAAAAATTACGACCCAAAATTTAGAAACAGATCTCTGCAATACCACAGAACATTCTTTACCGAGTGAACCAGAACTTGTGTAGATGTCAAGAAAGCATCAGAGCTAAAGGTAGTTCCAGCATCTACTATAACATGAGAACAATTTAAACTCTCCCAGTAGCAAGAAGCTACCTTCCCTCCACGGCAGTTCTCCCAGCTGTGCTGTCTCGACTTCCCCGGCAGCCGTAGCCTCCTTCGCCGAGACCAAATCTCCGCCCGACCGGCACATTTATAAAACGGGCGCACTGTATTACGAAGAGGTAAAAAAGATGCATCTTCTAGATATAACGTGAATATTGATTAGCTCACTCTAAACCTCTTTCCAACTAGTGACAAACTAACGGCAGAAAGCGTGAGAAAGTGGTAGAATAGTTTAATTAAATTAAAAAATAGACTGAAGATTAGATTTTCTGTAAATAAAGTCGATTTCGTAAATACAATCAAAGTCTAAGGGTTTTGAAATAACGTATCAACCACAATAGAGGTATTTCAAACAAATCTGAAACAAAACCAGATTCTTTGGATTGTAATTCATAAAATAATATACAATATTTTAATAAGTAGTTGGTTTATGATGTAGTCAATTCATGAACATTGGCATACTTTTTATTAAACGTTCCTCAATTTGTCTTAAAAATGACGCGGTGTTTTTTGAATTGATTTAGATAACATGTTTTTTCACTGAATGATTCGTTTAGATTCGTTTAGTCACTCCCTCATTCGTTTAGTACATATTTTATGTATCTACGAGTACTTTACCGTATGGAATTCAACGATGAAACATTAACACACACATTTTTCTCTTAATGCATATGTCCAACGTTTCATGACCACAGAGTGGTTACGAGAATTCATCGGTTCTCCCTTCCTCGAAACAGTAACCACGTCAATTAAATGCAAAACAAGAACTAAACACAGCTCCCTCATTCGTTAAACACATCACTCGCACATTTAAAACTTCGCTTTTCTACAGTTCGCCACCATTAAACACCATTAATCATATAGGCATAAAGTTACAAAGCCAAAAGATGTTAAAAGAGTCCAGTTAACATGTACAACTGACAATTAACTGACAATTAGAGAGTGTATCATTTTTAACGCTCGTTACAAATGATACACTCGTGCTAAACGTGCTTGTGGATAGACAACTTGCATGTGATGGATCCACTTGCCCACTATTTATCCACTTACAAGAAAAAAAGCATATATAGAGCGATTTTTATAAGAATGGACTGTTTTAGCTGTTAGTGCTAGCAACGTAACTGAAGGTACTGTGATCGTTGTGTCATTGAGCCCAATGGACTCTCCTTCCTCCATTCGTTCGTTGGCAGTTGGCTAACTTGTAAATGGCTTCGACGCTTCCTTTAGAGACGTCTCCGACCGACGAAAAAATATTGCAACAAGAGAAATAATTGAAATTGCGAAGTGCAGTGCTATGTTTTGTTCTGTAAAAAATCTGTTTTATTATAAATACTACATTGACTTTACTTTTTGTGTGACAAGTATTTAATTCATTTTATAACCAAATTTAAAATGCGTACTGGTGCACGGGTTTCCGAGTCCTGTGCTATAAGGTGGTGAGTTGTAATGGAGAGCCTTTCGTAGGCTTGAGGATCTTTTACATGCAAGTAAATTTACTAACATGGGACAGCCGCCTTTACTTCCCCTCCGAAGGGAGGCGTATGAAGAATTTTTTCGCCCTTAAATATCCACGGCTTCGACCCGATTTCAACATTTCGGTTCGCTAACCGTTACACCATCGCCGCCCGCAAATGATGTCTTAACGGGAGCCATATACAAACACAAACACTTAACAAAGAGGCGTAGATGAAAAGCTGTCGCGGCGGAGGGATATTTCCCTGAATTACATGTGATGTTCATTTGTTTAGCTACCTCTTGGCTCAATATAATGCGAGTAGTTCTATGTTACAGCGGGCCGCGTTCCCGTAGTAGTGTTAAAACGCGTTGGTTCGCAGGCGGGGCTGCCGTGCGCGGTGCTCACTCGTCGTCCGAGAAGGGCGTGAGCTGCGCGGGCAGCCGGCCGTCCACCTGCCGGCGCGCGAACTCCGCCGCCAGCAGTAGCGTCGCCCGCCGCCGCGCCACCTCCTCGTTGACGGCGCTCGCCTCCGCTGCGACACGCGCGGGCACACACCGCTCACCTCTCACCGCTCACCGCTCACCGCTCTTGAAACAGCTCGCTCCGAATACTTGCACGAGAACCGGCCTCACCGCTCACAGATTTTGAAACCAGCTCGCCCCAAATAATTGCACGAGATCAGTCTCAGAGTATGTGCTGCTCACCGATCACCGATCACCACTCTTGAACCAACTCGCTCCGAAATACTTGCACGAGAGCCTGCTCACCGCTCACAGGTTTTGAAAACTGCTCGCTCCAATACTTGCACGAGAATCAGTCTAGGAGTATCTGCTGCTCACCGCTTTTAAAACAGCTCTCCCCCACATTCTTGTACGAGAACCGCCTCATCGCACACAGGTTTTGAAACAGCTCGCTCACAAAATAATTGCAAGAAAATTTAGTCCTCAGAGTATGTCTGCCATTACCGATCACCACTCTTGGAAAACTTGCTACCGAATATTTGTGAGCCTGCGCTCACCGCTCAGAGGTTTTAAAACAGCTATCTCCAAATACTTGTACGAGAAATCATTCTCAGAGTATGTTTCTGCTCACCGTTCACCGCTCTTAAAAAGCTCCCCGCCCCCCATACTTGCAGGATAACCGGCTCACCGCTCAGAGGTTAGAAACAGCCGCGCCAATACTTGCACGGCAGTCTCAGATGTGCTGCTCACCGTTCTTAAAACAACTCTTCCTCCCATACTAGCACGAGAACCGGCCTCACCACCTACAGGTTTTGAAACAGATTGCCCCAAATACTTACATGAGAAATCGGTCTCAGAGTTTCCTGCACAGCGCTCACCACTCATAAAACAGTTCACACCGCAAATATTTACCGGAGAAACCGCCTCAGAGTGTCTGCTGCTCAAGGCTACTCGCTCTTTAAAACAGCTCTCCTTCATGTACTTGCACGAGAACCAGCCTTATCGCTATAGGTTTTAAAGCAGCTCGCTCCACAATAATTGCACGAGAATCAGTCTCAGTGTGTGTGCTTCTCACCGCTCACATGTTTTTAAACAGCTCGCCCACAAATACATGAGAAAACCGTTACAGAGTACCCGCTACTCACTGCTCATGCTCTTAAAACCACTCACCCCCCTCAATTTGCCACGAGAAACAGTCTATGTGTCGCTCATCTCTCTTTAAAATACATCGCCCCACTTACTTGCACAAGAAACGGCCTCAGAGTACGTGCTGCGGCGGCAGAGCTTTCTCAAACACATTTATTGTCGTTGTTCAAACAGTAATTTCCGAGTGCTTGGGAATTGCTTTTGCAGTTCAAGTGAAGCTATTTGTGGTTGAACAAATAAAACTGCATTGTCCGAATGCTCTAAGACAGGGCAGCGAATGAAATTGTTTTGACGAGAACGAGAAATATCATAGTTTCTAGAGATTTTTCGCACTCTTTCTCATTTTCCCGTTCTACCTTAGACCTTTTAATTCTTATAACAATTGCCATCAGAATTAATATCTAGTAATCCCATCAACTTAATTTCATTCATCTGAGAAGCAAAGTCGACATGCGATTGAATCCTAATCTTACAAATAAGCATTTGAACTCCATTGGCAAATTGCACAATATTCGGCTGAATAATCCACGTGTTTTCGAAACACATGTGACATTTATTAAAAAAGGCATTGAATAAATAATTTTAAAACTTTTACTTCATAATGAAAGTTTTTCATATGATAATTACATTCTTGCGCATGAAGTTAACGTATTGATGACACAGTTAATTCAGAGACTATCATGATTATCTCAAAAAAACAATTGACACAAAACTTCATCATATGTAAGTTACAGTGCACGCACGGATGAGTTGTTGATACTTTCATGTAACAATCTATAAAATACCACCTCTGCGTTGTTTGCATAGATGCCCATCAAACACACGTGGGGACAATTAGTGACAAAGTCTTGTCAACATTTTTTGAGAGGCGTTGCTACAACATCACTTTGTGAGGAGATTTAATCTCGTCTGACATTAATTTCGTTGCCATATGAGCTGGTGTCTATAAAAAAACGCTAGTTCTATAAACGCTTCGAAACAGACGACATTGTGAAGAAAACCGTCATTCTCGACTCTGGTTTATTTGGGTGTTTATGTTTTTCTAGATAAGAGTCTGGAGATTTTTAGTTGCCAGTGGAAGTGTTTAAATTCAGACAGTGTTCCTGAGCCACCATGTAGCAATTCTGGACGTGGTAGGCTGTCGCATTGTCCTGCTAGAATTGTCCAAGTCCGTCGGCATGGACAAAGGACATGAATGGGTACAAGTGATCAGACAGGATGCTTACGTACGTGTCACCTGTCAGGGTCGTATCAGGAGTCCCATATGAACCATGAACACACCCTTACCATCACAGCCGTCCACCAGCTTGAAACAGTCCCCTGTTTGACAAGCAGGGCCTAGGAATTCCTGAGGTTGTCCGCCATCCTCGTACACGTCCATCCTTCTCCAAAACAAAATGAAACGATACTCTTCAGACCAAGATTCGTGTTTCTAGTGATCAACAGACCAAATGTTTGTGTTGTCAAGCCAGGCAAGGCGCTAAAAAGCTTTGTGTAATGCAGTCATCAAGGGTAGACGATTGGCCGTCGGTTCTGAAACCCCATATCAATAATCTCTGTTTAATTGGTTCGCACGTGACATTGATGGCCCAGCATTGAAATCTACGGCACATTTGCAAAAGAGTTGCACTTTCTCACGTGTAATGATGTTTCTCAGTCGTCGTCTGTGCCGTTCCTGCACGATCTTTTTGCGGCCGTAGTGATGCCGGAGATGATTTTACTGATTCTCGATATCACGATACACTCGCTGAAATGGTCGTTCGGATAATCCAAATTTCATCGCGATCTCGGAGATGCGTAGGCCCCATCTCTCTTGGAGCGACTATAAACCGACGTTTCAAACGCACTTAAATCGTGATAACCTACCATTGTAGCAACATTCTAACAACTGTGCCCGACTCTAGCTGTCTTATATAGTTGTTGCCGACCGGAGCACCGTATTCTGATTGACTCCGGATCTCTTTATTTCAATATGCATGGCAATATGCAAATGCTTTATTTCAATATGCATGCAAGGAGGGGTCACTGTCATCCAATCGAGAGCTTCAATACAAAACGTTTAAGTCGTAACGGAGCTCACGATTGGACGACACTGTCCCTCTCTTGTGGCAGCTCGTAACTTTGAGAAATCTTCCTGTTTTAATAGAACCATTAACTGGGGGTATAACTGGAGTTATAATTGAACCATTAACTGCGGAAACGCAATTAGTCCGCATTTCCTAACTTTATTAGAAGAAACAAAAATGTGTATAAAACCCATTTTAAGAACATTTTCTCTTTACGATGTATTTTTGCTTCTGAGTGCAGAGACCTATATTTAAGTGGCCAAGTCTCCTTTCTGCAATATAAAATGCATTGATCTACTCACAACCCTCCCCGCCGATAAAGAAGCCTATACAATGGGACTAATTGCCTTTTCTGCAGTTAATGGTTAATTAACTGTGGAATAATATTCGTAATATTCCTAATTTCCTAATAATTCCTGCAATATAGAATGTATTGAACTACTCACAACCCTCCCCGCCGATACAGAAGCCTATAGAGCGTGACGAATTGCCCTTTCCGCAGTTAGCGATTGCATTGCCTACCAGGGAGCGAGTGCGTGGCGCGAAAGCGGCTGCGCGTGCGTACCTTTAACGCCGAGCGCGGCGACGGCGACGCGGTGGCGCGGGCGGTAGGCCTTGCGCGCGTCGTGCAGGTGCGGGCAGGTGAGCAGCGGGCGCAGCGAGAGGCGCGCGCCGTCGCGCTCCAGGTGCTGCCGGAAGGCCTCCAGCGCCGCCGGCTCCGCGCCCCACGCCCCCGCCTCCGCGACCCACGCTGCCCCCATCTGACAGTGGGCCGCGGTGGTTTTAACAACTGCACACGTACGTTCTCAGAGGGGGATTTAATTTAAAAGAAATCTCGTTTATTGATTTTAACTAAAATTTATGTGACAAAACAAAGTCACAAAATCATAATGGCAATTAAAAGTACTTTGATTATCTGATTTGATAATACAAAAATAATGTAGGGCTTTTTTGTTGATTAAAACTCGATTTTATTTATTTATCACTCTTGGTCTCTTTGGTCTTCAGTTTATGGATATCTGGAAATTATTACAGAATTTTATGATTGACCAATTAAACCAATTGAAAAATATCGATCAATCAAAAGCATCGATATTAAAACATTATGTTCAAAAATTGATGTTTAGTATATTGATGATTTTATAGGAATATCGATGTTTTTCTAAAACATCGACATCTACGTCCCTTCCCCTGCACCTACCTCCCCTCCCTCCTGTTCAGGTCCCACTGTTCAGGTCAACGGTTGCCACTACAACATCCTCGACTAAGAGGTCTGAGGGATCGAGTCGCAACGTTGACGGATTTTCGACACTGGCTACACAGCTGGGACCAATTTAATTACTGACTTGAAGAAAATTCTAGAGGACGGCCAAGCTAATTGGCAGTTTTCCGAGCTTCATCCGAACAATACCAGGCGTATGCTGGAGGTGTACCCTAAACGGGCAACGAACCTCGCGCGATCACCCCATACTTATCCTTAACCACTCTTCTCCCTGAGCCCTACTCTACGTCAGTTTGGAGCTGAAGATTTGTTCTGGCTGGGTCGGTGTCCCGTCGGGGAGAAACATGGAGAAGGAAACCTACAAGCCAAAATGTAGTGCGGCGTCGGATCTCAGGTTTCGCGGGAAGAGCATCCTGCCACCGTCAGGAACATGTCCTACACTTGCATGACTAATCACCTCGTTAGGTTACACACCCGAAAACAATACTGACTCATTCATTCACTCCAGTTATTCCATCGCTTTATGCCGCATCCATAATGAGACGTACAGAACATTGACGAATTACCGCTTGCAGTAACAAGCACCATTGCTACTTAATTAATTAAAATATTTATTCAGAAAGAACGTTGATTTACACGTTTTAAGTACTAGATTTATTTTTATTCCTTGCGTAGATTGCAAAGAGAAACATTCGAATTCTACCATTACCCTTGGAAGACTCAAGTGAACAGAATGGATATAGCTGCCTCAACTGCCGATGCATCCGGAACTGCCTGTGTTATTCGGATTGGGTCTCAATTATGTATCCTGGTTTTGAAATAGATTTTTCTTGCCATGTTGGGTGAATACATTGGTGCAAATGGATCACGGAACGCTCCAGAAATCGAAATTTTCATGCTAATTCCTCATTTATGTAATGTAAATATCCGAAGATAAGTTGATTTACGAGCAGTCTTTGAGTATTGCTTTATTTCCCCAACATGCGTATGAGTTTCTCACTTCAGATTTAGATTTATACAGTCAAAAAACAGTAAAAACTGTATGTAATGCAGGTAAAGCTAATTTTTTTTTAATAATTGAATAATTGAAGCGAATAATATAATAATTGAAGCGATAATTTTCTATACATTTTTGTAATGTTTTTTTGATGTTTCTTCATGTAAAAATATATTTCCTAAATACTTCTTACTTGGGTAACAACAGATAATAAATTTCACAGTAAGGACATCAAAATATTTTGTGAGAGATTGACGATGTTAAAATGCAATTGTATACGTTCATTTTGAAGATCCCTACAAACTGCCGAGTATCCGTTTATCTGATATGTTTCTACTTGCTACAAACCATCTCTCGCTTCAGTTCATGTGTGTGTGTGTGTGTGTGTGTGTGTGTGTGGGTGGGTGGGTGTGTGTGTGTGAGGGAGAGAGTGAGCGAGTGAGGGAGCTTCCACCTGCGAGGAGGTGCTGCTGGAGGCGCGGGTGTCGCTGGTCTCGCTCAAGGAGTTGTCCGCGGAGTCGCTGTAGGTGTCGCTGGCGTCGCTGGGCCGGTCGCTGTCGCTGTCGCCGTCGCCCTCGCCCTCGCCGCCGTCCTCCTCCTCCTCGTCGTCGTCGTCGTCGTCCACGAGGAAGGCGTCGGCCGGGAGGAGCTCCGGGCTCGCCACGGCGGCGCCGGTCAGCAGCGCGGCCTCCAGCTGCCTCACCTGCCACGCCCACGCCCGCGCCCCTCGTCAAGCAACGCCCTTTCGACGGCCGCCCCCTCTCAGCATTCACGAAATGAAGGAACTTTTATTCAACCCTGGGACGTATTTTTAGATAAAACATTCAAATTTATCTCCCTCATTTCCATCTAATATTTTACTATTTTAAATAAAAATCACAACAAAAATAACAATAACAAACGCGTTAAAAGTTGCTTAAAAGGGGAAGAATATGTAAAAAATGGTGCAGTCATAGTTTGTGTGAACAAGATAATAATAATCGGTTTATTAGATAATATAAGTACTAGCAAGCATTATAGAGACAATACATGACACTGCAATATAATGGGAGACATTTGGAGTTCGAGATGTCATATCCATTCACGAAGTTAATAGGTTTAGAAGTTTTTTAGTTGACTTTGATTATGTTTACTCAGGTTTCGCAAAGTCATTAAAATATTTTTGTTTGTTCAGTAATAACTTTTTTATATGGCTGGTAAGTTGTGTGCTCTACTTGCACAATTTATGGAGTTCAGAAGAATCTTTTTTTCGATTCCCTCACGATGAGTTCTAAGTGCTTTATTATATAATAACGTATTATTCTCCAATTTAAAGGGAATATTAAATTATCAAATAACTGTTTTTATTGCTTGTAATATTGTACATTTATATTTATATTCTAAAAATATAAAATGTAATATATAAATATGAAATTAAATATAACTGTAAATAATAGCTTTATTAGAAGCGAGAGAACAGTAAAAGGGACTGTGTGTGTGTGTATTATATGTTGAAATTTGTAGTTGCCACCGAGTTTACAGTTCTCATCACTAGTGAACAGTTGCCTCCCAATAAAGGTATGAGAAAGCTTCAAAGTCTCATGTTTTGTCTCTAAATTATTTGATACTAGTAATTACATCTAGTTTTTTTGTAGAACTTTGGCATCGTTACCGCGATATTATTGATTTAACAGTATACATACTACTGATGCCCGAACAAAAGTATTGACAGTTCAAGAATCTAAAACGCTGAAACTCATCATATTGCAAATAAATAATTGCAAGCAATAGTATCGCTTGTTTAGAATGTAAGAATTTCGCTGCGAGCAGTATCGCAAGTACCGCAACGTCCCGACCCTCACCCCGCCGCGGGGCGTTGCCTGCGCCGGCGAAGGCGTTCGCCGACCGCGCACTCGCGACGGCGACGGCGCGCGGCGCGGGGACGGCGTTGCGGTGATGGCGCGTCGGCGACGGGGCGCCGCGACGCTTCTTTCTGGGGTGTTCTTCTGTGCGGGGAAGGGCGAGGCGCGCGGCGAGGCGCCGTGGAGGGTGAAGGCGAGTGGCGAGCGGGCGGCTCGCGGACGGGGGGAGGCCCGTGCCCGTTGGCCGGGCGGGGCGCGCTACGGCTCCAGCGCCGCGGGCTTTGACCCTGGCGGGGCGGTGGCGGTGGGCCGCACAGCACCCTCGCCGCAAGGCCGCGAGGCGAGCGCCGGGGCCGGGCGGCCGCCGGGGGCGTGTCGGGGCTGTGGCTGGTGCTTCGGCGTTGGCCACGTGGACGCGCCTCGGCCAGCCGGCCCTTCGCCCAGCCCTGGTCGAGCAGGCGCGCAGCCGGGTGGTGGTGTCGGCGGCGGCGGTGAGGCGCGCTTGGCGCGGGCGGCCTGAGAGCGTGCTGGGGGCGGCGGCGGCGCACGGGGGCGCCGCCTGACGAACGCGTCCTTGTAGTCCGACGGCTCGTACGCGCCCCGCGGTGGCCGCGCGAATCACGTCGTGAGCTTGGCGCTCGATGTCGTTGGCGCGCCGGATGACCTCGTCCGCGCGCTTCATCGCGTCCACCACCTCCTGCGACGAGAGCTCCGTCGTGGAGGGGCGCGACGGCCACAGCGCCTGCTTCATAGCCTTCACCACAGCCGACACCGCGCACGCGTCCACCGATTCCCCTTCCAACACCTCACGCCCCGCCTCCTTTTTCTTGCCTTGCTTTGACGCTCTGGAGGCTGTGTCGTCCTTCCCGAGGGCGCTCAACCGCTGGCTCTTGTGGCTCGCCGGCGATTCGTTCTCTTTTGCGGGATCCGTTCCATGCATTTGCGCCTTTTGCGTGTATTCTTTAATGGCGTCGTCTAAAATAGCGTCTCTCACTTGCATAGCCATCGCAATGTCAATGTTTTCCTTGTTTGAGGCTGCGTTGGGTTTTCGAGACTCTCCTTGCAAGTAAGCTGTCCGTCTCATTTCTCCCTTAGATGAATCGATTTGTTCTTCTGGTCGATTATCCCTACCTCTCGTCAATCCTACGTTGTCGGTATTTTGACGTACGATCTCGGTATTTATTTGGTGGAAAGGGGTGTCGTTTGTTAATCCTCTCTTTATTATTTCGTTTACCACTGTGCTGTCAAGCGAATTTTGATCTAGAGCCAGAATGGCTAAAGTGTCTAATAGTTTTCTCTGCGGAACGCCGAGAAGTGTGTCGGCTTCTGCAGATAATGGAAGCACAGCGGATAAATCCGCATCTTGGTTTTCTGCAGATTTTTGTTTCATTTTACTCTCCGTTTTCCTGGCCCGCTCCGCTTGCAGTTGGGATACACCTACAACTTTTTCCCAATTTTTTTTGTTTCCGTCCATGGCCTTCGCCTCTTTTTCGGCATCCTCAGCTAGTACTCCCAAAGTCGTGGCCATTCTAGCTGCAAGTTTGTCAATCGTCTTGCTTAATTTCAGCTTTTTCATGTACTTTTCTATGTCATCTGTATCTATATTTGCAACATTGTCTCTCTCGTACTGAGTCGTTATGGTGGAGGGAATTTTTTCAATATTCTCCGTATTATGTTGTTGATATGTTTCGACAAATGATTTTTCCGACGTCTTTTCGACTATTGTTTCGAATGTTTGATTCATGCGTTCCTGAGCCTGAAACTTGGGAGCTGAAGGACATTCAATGTTAGCTCCAGATTCTCTGGTTGACATGTCGAATATCGCGCCAATGAGCTCTCTGCCGACTGCCAGTGCTTCTGCCCGGCGAATTGCAGCCATTTCGGCATCGGTTTTTTCACCAACTTCATGACTTATGCGGCTCGTTTGTTCCTCGTTGCCGTTTGCAATCTGGGCTTCCTTCGACTTTGTTTTTTCATCGGTTGCGAGCTTCACGCTAACTAGGTTCAGTTCTTTCTCCGAAATTTCAGCTCGAACTTGCCAAATATCTGCCACTAAATCCGCCAATTCCGCTCTAGCTTCGGCCATTTTCGGGTAGAATTCTCCGAGGTCGACATCTTCCGTAAGCGCTTTCCAGGTGAACGGGGTCTCGGGCACCGGAATATCGGCGGCTGCGTAAATGCGAGGAGCTGATGTCGTGTTACAGGGTGTTTTGGAAGCTACATCCCAAGAGCCATTGTAGTCGTCTATTGATACATCGTCGACACTTAAGTTATTCAAATTGAGAATTTCCTCTGGAATATCTTTTTGCGCGGATTCGCTTTGAGCGACCCGTTTGCTTGCTTTCTCCTTTCGAGCCGTCTCAGGACGCACTTGCCAAATATTTGCCATCAACGCGGCCAGTTCCGCCCTGGTTTCTAATTCACTCGGAGTGAAGTCGTCCAAATCGATATTTTCTGTCAGAATCTGCCAAGTAGGAACTGTATAAAGACTACGATTACCTGATAAGTCATCAGACAAACTCGTGTCGATGCCGTTGGCTTCATCTCGCCAATAATGACTTGTTGTCTGCCCCATCAAATTCATTTTCACATTCCCTACCAACTGATTGTTCATTTCGGTGTTTGGAGTGTCAGATATGGTCTTCCATATAGTGTCCATTTCTTCGGGAGGAAACTCTATTCTCACCACTGGCACTTCTTCGTGCAGTATGTCAGGTCGGCCGTTCGGAAAGTCTTCAGATATATCCGCTTTTCCATCGTCAAGTCCCAGAAAACGTTCTTCTATTTCCAAAGACGAAGAAGTTCCATTAAACGAAAATGTCTTATCAACGTCTTTCTTCTTCGCTTGAAGCAATGGAATGTTATTTTCATTATTGTCCTCGGAGTTTTCAACTACATTTCGTGACTCATCTACAGCTTCGTCATGTTTATTTTCGTGTTCAACCTGGGACGTTTCCCCTGGAATTTTAGCCTTTATGACGTTTTTAGGAATATTAACTCCTCCGTCATGTCTCCTCTTATGAGCTTCGACAGCTTCATTCTTAGCTCCTTTCTTTACCCTCTTGATGTCTTTTCCAGCACTCTCTCCTTGCGACTGAAGATTAGTTGCAGGTTTGGGACTGTAGTCTATGACACTTATACTAGAGGTGGGCATTTCGTAGACTTTCCAAATTGTGGTTATGTCGTCTACTTCATTGGTTTTGCGAACTTTCGAAGGCATTTCTGAACTATCGGTATTTGTCGGCTTACCTTCATATTCGGCGCGTTTGGAAGTCTTTCTGAGTTCTGATTTTTCCTCACTCGCCTTTATTTCCTGTGATGTATTATAGGTCGGCTTTCGCTTTGCTTTCCCCGGTGCCACTGCATACTTCACCTTCTTTTTCCGTACATCTCCATCCGGCAAGTCTTCCCAAACATCACCCTCTTCCTGTAGAGGCATTTCAGGTCGTTTTTGACGATTTTTAGAGTCAGCCCAGTGCGCAAACTCGGCAGCAATTTTCCTAATAGCATCCGCGGAAGTGTCTTCAGCACTTGCTTTGGTTACCGCTTTTGTCACACGGGTACTTGTTGGTCGATCAATAACCCTTGGCTTCGCTTTCCTTGTTGTGGCTTTCTCTCTTTCGTTCTGAACTTTACGGAAGTCGTTTTCTTCTTCTAAAAGCAAGATATTTTCTTCAAGTTTTATATTCGTATGTTTATGCTTTTTAGTCGCTTGTTCGTCGCCAAATCTCGTTTTCTTGCAAGGTGTAGCAGTTGGCACGTAGATTGTTTGAATCTCTGCATCTTTAACTTTGTCATGCATGTAGCTTTTGGCTATTGTTGGTTCATCTACTTGTAAACCTTTACTCGGGTTGAGATTTTCTTTGTTAGATTCTTCGACTTTGACTTGCCAACGTTCAACTGCCTTAGCTACCTTCTTAACCATATCCTCCCCGGCAATTACGTTGTACTTCTTATCGCTTTTAACCGTCTCAGTTGACCGCTGAATATTTCTCTTAGGGGAAGAGTCTGCTTTCTTCTTGCAAACCGGAATATTGCTGTCGTATAGCTTGGGGCTCTTCTCGTGTTGACGGACCTTACGTTTTCCTTTCGTTTTATTTTTCGTTTTCGAGACACTAGACTTCCGATTGGCTGCTTTATTACTTCTTTGAATGCGGTGAAGGTGCGCGTTGACTTTTATGTCGGATTTCTGCCTCCTTTTCCTCCTCATCGTATTCTCTTCCTCGTCGAATCCCGCCTGGATACCGATTTCGCACGTCGGCAGCAGCACGTCGCTTCCTCCGGCCGCCATCTCGTTGAACCTGGAGTACACCTCGCGCATGTCGACGTCCTCCACCAGAGTGCTCCACACGGCACACGGCTGCTGGCGGAAGCATTTGTCGAGAACGGCCGCGTCCGCGCCCGTTTTGCTCTCGGCCTCGGCGAGTCGCGGAGGCTCGGCGCGATCCCGCGCCGGCGCCATCTTGGCGCGCGCGGTCGTCAGGCAGGTCTCGTTCATGTCGACCTGCTCGGCCAGCGCGTTCCACGTGACGGTATTTTTCTCCGCCGTCGCTTTGCCCTCGCGCCGTCCCGTCATAGCGTGGGCGGTCGCCGGGCGCTTGACCACCCGCACGGCCCCCTCCGCCTTGGGCCCGTCCACGTCGCTCTGGCTCCTCTCCGCCACGAGCACGCGCTCCGTCAGGTCGTCCAGCCGCACCACGCGCTCCCCGCTCTTGGCGGCGGCGGCGCGCGGCGGCGCTGCAGGCGGCGGCTGCTGGCC